GCCCCTAAAACTGGTACTATAAGGCTGCAAACTCTTTGGTTTGTTTTCTATTTGCATCGTACTTGTTTAATCAATTAGATTTCATAAGCCCTAATGATGGGTGATCACAGGAATCCATAATTTCAGGATCAGGTCCAACAGAAGCCACTTAGTACATTCTGATGAGCAGGCCTAACATACTGCATGCAGGACATGCACTGGTTCTATGTAAACAACATGCTGGTGTGTTCTATCCATCCATTACCCAGTCAGAAAATTGCTTTGGGCATTAATCCAATTTCCTTATTCCAGGTGGGTTTTTATTCCTGGATTTCAGATACAATGTGCTGGTATAAAGAGCACTTCCATTCTGACCATATGCTTCTGAGCCTGTGCTAAGCCTGGGGTTGAAGGAGACCCACCAAAGTGAGAGAACTAGGATTTTGACCCTAGATCATCATGCCTGTGACTGTTTCAATTGCAACAGGACACCAGAGAGCCTTGTTCAGAAGAGGAACACAGTAACATGTACATGCATATTTACATGCATTCTCCTTCTTAAATCTAGCATGGAGTAAAATCAGTAGTCTTCTGAGGCGACAGACAAACATCACACACGATTTTTCCTGTGGCTCTCAGCCTACTTTTGAGTGCAATGAAAGCACCAAAGCATCAGGAACCTGGCTATGTAAGAGATTACCATTTACCACAGCCCCATGAGCAGCCAGAAAGATTGCCTGCTTGTTTCTTAATGGTAAAATACTCCAGACCTATTGCCAGGGCTGTAGGAAGATATTCATAGTAGGCTTCTATTCCAGATTCAGCCTTGACAAAGATAGTGTAAGGCTTTAGAAAAATTCCTACAGCCCGGTTTTACTCAGCAGTGAGTCTCACTCGAGCAAACTGACATTTCAAGCCCTTCCCCTTCCCCTGTGGATGCTGCATTTCCATGTTCCAGCAGTGAAAACACACCATAGCCAGCACACATTTGTCACAGCTTACTCCTCCGAATTTCATCTGCAAGATCACCTCCCTGGTTGAGAACAACTGATGTTAACCAACAGCTCTAAAAAAAAAAAAAAAAAAATTAAAAATTTGTCAGTTCGTGGACTATGCATAGTGCTTGTTAGACAACATGAAAAACTGTACTTCTTTTACTGCTGGCAGAATTGGGATGGCAGGGTTCCCTCCACCCCCTCCCTTCTCTCCTGTTTACTTTCCTGCCAGTACCGTAGGGACTTGTAACACTACCAGCTGTGAAAGGCTCTTACATAACTTTTTGTTTAACTTTGAGAGTAACAGCCTGGCTGTGAGAGAGATATGCTCTGTGAGTCTGGAGAGGAAGCAAGAACATGCCGCTTAAACAGAGAAGCAGGGGAAGCTCCTCTTTTCCAAGAGTAGCTATGACATTGCCAAGGTTTTAAAAATCTTCATACCAGACTGCCCTCTGCCGGGATGCTATTCAAATAAACTCCATCCCCACTCCTCCCAACTACCTCGCCATCCTAGAATCTATACCAGAAATACATATGCTTTTTCTAGACTAATGAAAATATTTGATAGCCTCTTTTTCAAAACTTATATATCTGACTAACAATAAAAAGACTTTTTTTTTGCCTTCACAAGCAATCCATTCAAGTGAGGATTTGGAAATGCATCTGTATTTCTATGCCAATACCATTTCCAGCACCACAGATTTTGTTTAAATCAAGCATACTTGGGGCTGGTATTGAATGCGTAATTGCGAAAAAAAACCTTGAAGCTATTTTTTACATGTTGTCTTGTAAACATATTAAGTTGACAATTTTACGCAACCCTCTTTTGTTCCAATCAGTGACCTAGTTTCTTCTCTCCATTGAAAATACACACCACATCAACTCCCTACAGAGCACCTGAGATCACTCTTCTTTTTTTGAGGTATCATGGCAGCATTATTACTTTTGCAGTCTCCAAAGTATCTCCTTGTCAGGTGCTCTTCACTTGCAAGCAAAGTATTTCTCTCCTTCAGCCCAATGGTTGCGAGACCTGCAAATTCTGCTCTAAACCTGAGTATGGAAGTTCAAGCTCTGCCCCCACTGTAGAGAAAGGTTTGGTAGTTGCGACCAGACCACACACACCATAATCCAACTGTCTTCACTGGAGCTTGTGTAAAACATAAGATAACCCAAATGTCTCTATCTATTCAGCCCAGCAAAATAAAAATATTTGTTTATTCATCTGACAGGAATGCACAAGAGCAGTCTTTCACAGAATGCTGAACTGTCCAAAGCTGTATTTTAAAATCTGTGGCAACATATTACCACCAAGAATTGGCAGGGCAGTGCCAATAAGCCATATAATTTGATTTTTACTAAAGGTATTTTAATTTTTCCCCCATTACTTTGTGGTCTTCCACTTTCTCAAACATACTGCAAAAAATTGACCAGAAAACTTGTCTGAATGGACTGAAGATTTTTGACCTATTGCACAACGATGAAACCACATTTTGCAATTGCATTGTTTTTTTTTAACTGCAGAGTATGTTTTTTCATGACCACTAAAAACCATTTTTCATCAGTATCAGGATGACAGCACCACATTTTACAGCTGGAGCTCACAGCAAAACCCCAGAATATCCTGTTTTAAAGGACTTTCACTGATCTAGATAAGCTCATGATTATTTACCAAGGTGGATCTCTGCTTTATCATTCCTCCTTAAAATAGCATTTCGTCTTAAATACCAACATTTCTGGAAGTTTATGCCTCCTAGAGATCAAGAAAAGAGTCATAAGCAGCCATATAAATTAATTAAACAAGAACCCACAATAGTGAGGTGTTTCTCTATTCACTGCCCTCTCCACTTTCCCAAAACTTCTGGGGCTGTTCCAATTCCAGAACTGGCTTCAGAACTGGTAGCTGCACTACGTTCTATTATTTTCCTATTCTACAGAATATAAAGAATAAAATAAAAATAATATAAAATACAAAGAGTTACTACTATCAGTCCCCTCCTCCCGCCCCAAAGACCTTTAGCCCATTTAATGCTAAGGCCATATATTCTCCTTATCCACAAAAATCACCCGAGACATTTGGTATCACAAAAAAAGATACCTCTTTTACATTTAAGGCTGCTTCAAGCTTTTCTTTCACCACACAAGAACCAGGAGATGCAGGATGGCTGCTTCTCTGCACCCTCGCCAGGCAAACTCTTGGCTACTCACTACAAGCACTGTACTATGAATTCTCTTCCATGGTCCTCCTCATATTTGGTTCACTATTTCTCATCTTGAAATGCTCCAGCCCTGCTTCTTTAATTTAGATAAGAAAAGGCTCTGTTAGCATGCCATTATCTCAAAGAAGGTTTTGCTACCTATAAGACAAGTGTACCTCTGCACGTAATATAGAAGATATCATTTCCATGGGATTTAATACCAGCTAATGAATCAGACTGCAACAGCCCTCCCCCACAGAAAATGAAATTGCCTTCACAACAACATGTGTAGTTTAGCTCATGACACTGCAAAGCAATGATAATAATATGCATCACTCATGAATCAGTGGATACATCACTACAGGACATCTGTCACCAACAGAAAGCCCATTTATTTATGGAACTAGGGAAAAATAAGGATAATGATTTCCAAATTCCATTTTATTGCCAGTTGAATTCAACAGAACTGACTAGTTTTTGAACAGCAAAAAAAATTCCAAAGCCCCATTTGCAAGTTTACACTGATATTCAGGTCAGCTGTTAAAGGTATGTTTCATGAATAGATGAGATTATGTAAAAAACATTCTGTTTATTCACAGAACCTACAGTTAAGTCTGACTGGTATAGAGATACCTCAGTGCCGTCACTTTGCTGTGGAGCCCTTCACACTCTCACTGTCTCACTTTGAATCCCATTGTTCAAATTCTTTGAAAGAACCTTTCTTCTCTGGCAGCCCACAGAAGAGAAATCCCTGACATTTTCATGGGCTGATGTGATGAAAAGTGACACAGATTGATGATCAAATTTTTAAAGAGGTACTCTTAGGGAAAAGTAGTTCTAGGAACTGAATATCCCTAATCAAAGTAAAAACATTTCACATTTATCAAACGTGTCAGACCAAAAGAGATCATGTATATAAACAGAATGTACTGATTAAACATAGTAGCTAGGAGAGTACAAAGAATTACAGCAGGTGTTTACCCACTTCAAAAACATCAGTTCCATTCTGCTGAATGACCGCTAGTACATTCCAACATCACTTACAACAGTGCACTCAATCAAGCACCGTTAAATTTAATGTGAAGAATAAAACCCACATTAATTACAAAACTTAAGAGTCTTTTGTATCATTCATGTAAGGAAGAACAGAGCATGGTTACCTATCATTTTGGTTCACTGGGACTTTGCAGAATATACTAGTTCAACAAAATGAGCTTAAGAAATCAATTCCAGCTGTCACTTGTTCTACCTCCAATAACACAACCCACACCATATTTGTGCTGATAGAACTTGTCGGGAAACTTACAAGTCTCCAACTGTGCACACTGTATTAACAGATTTTATCCTGTATGTCTCCATTCTCCAAGTAGAATAGACATATTTCATTTTCAGGAAAGACATCATGAAAATAAATACAAACAAAACAAACACATGGCATGGAATATCCAGACACGCTGATTATTGAAATAAGCTTTTTGCGCAGGAAGTGCAGGCTGGGGCTCAACACTGACTACAAAGAAACAAGAATGGTGACACATTCTCCATCAAATGATCCTTCTCTGTCCTGGAACATGTATCAGGCAGGATGTCCTCAATGAAGGAAAAGGGTATGTGATCGTGTCATCACAGGCTTGAGGACTGATTTAAAGCAAACTAGACAGTCTTATTTTTAGTAATTCTTAACCAACAATTCTTAGTTTAATGGTCAACTCTGCAACTCTAACAAAAAGCATTCTTTTAATAAAATGTTTTCCACTTCATACCCGCTATCAGTCATTAGAATCTGAAACAGTGAACATAATGATAACAAGCTTCAGGGTATTTACCATACCTCAGCTCCACCCATCCATTTTGGTTCATCAGGAAATTCAGCACATAGGGTGTCTTCTGACTGGTTAGTTCCCAAGACATGATAATGCAGCTTTTGGTGCAGATTTGTGGAGGTCTCAGTGCCTAGTGAAATGCAGACATTTAAACTAATTAATTCTCAAACAAACCCAACAACCACCATATAAAACCCTTAGAAACTTCTGTATCTCTGTGCATTTAAAAGAGAAGAGTAATTCAGAGACAACTATGAATGGTTCCAGTCTACAACCATTCCTCTCCAAACAAACGCTCCCCTCCAAAACAAAGTAAAACTTCAAACCACACTGCAAACCTGTTCAGTTACCCTTCCCATTTATTGCTGATAATGCATTCTCTAAATGTGAAGACTTCTCATTTCAAGCTTTGCTTGCTAGAAATACTAAGCAAGCAAAGAAAAACAACAATCTCTGCCACCCTCTAACGATGTTTTTGCTCCCATTTCACCCTGGGTGACTAAGGGGAGGTTTATTTCTAATTAACTTTCCTAGAAACCTTCATACTTCCATTTTCTGAAAACAAAATAAAAAAGAAGTATTTTAAAGCACTGCATGAGGTGCCACTTGATTTATCTTTTTTTAAATTTTGTTCTTGCAACACTTTCTAACACTTCAGCTTCTAACTATAAACATGTTCAAAAGTAAAAAACACAAGGTGGGTATCTAACTTGCAAATGTGGTGAAATGACAGGCTGCAAAAGCAGTAGAGAGGCAAAATTCAGGCTCTCTCCAAGGTTTAACAAAGAGCACAGCTCCAGAATAAATTTTTCAGCAGCACTGCCTTGTAATAAGAGCTGCTAAATTCCTTCCCTACCAATGCTCCTCAGCAATTTATTCCACTTTGTGTGCTGCGCCCCGAGTTCTGCTAGCATAAACATTTTGTGTTGCTGTGCTGTGAACCACAGATGAATTAACCTGGTTGAATAACAAAAACCTTATGCCCCAGATTTCAATTCATCAGGTCAACCTCCCAAGCCAGTTCACCTATGCCCACACAAGTGCGTAAGGGGAAGAAATTTAAGTAAGCTGTCACCAGACATCAAATTCTAGCCTGTAACAACCTATATGAAAACTAAGTAAATCACTGCAGAGAAAAAGAGTAGCAAACTTCAAAGAGATAGTGCCAGACAGACAAGAGGATACTCACACTAACTGAGTATAGATAGGCTTTGGTCACAAAAGACAATCTGGTAAGTAGTTATACTAGTTTATACAATTAGATATTCCAGTATAAACCAGTAGAGCTAATTATTTGTTGCACCAAATTACTGAAAAGGTCATTTTGCTTCCACATAGCATGCATCAGTACACCCATACTTACCATCACTTTTCCCATCTTGTTTTGGATAGCAGTTATAGAACATGCCTTTTCCATCATGGGTCCATGCCATGCAACTGAATTTAACTCTTTCCAGTGTATCTGGAAGATCCTCAGGACCTTCTACTTTCATAAACTTGATAGTAACCCAATCAGAGCCACTAGAACTCAGGCCGTATGCAAAGTATTCACCATCTTCACTGAATGCGTAACCTGGGAAATTGGAACCAAACAAGATGAAGTAAGAACCAGCACAAGGAATCAGTATTTTCACATAAAGTGTTTCTTATTTTGCCACACAGCCTTTTCTTATTTACTACACACTAGACAAATCCCAACAAAAGAGAGGTGAAATTGGGAAAGTAGTTAAAAGAACTGTGTTCACCGAACACTGAGAGAAGAGGGTTTATTTTCTAAAAGACAGTGCATCTGCTATCATTTGGGATTCACAGCACTTTTCCAGTATCTGTGGACTTCTCAAGTAGTTCACAGATCTGAGTTTAGGCATGCATACTCAGTATGTTCAGTAACATCACTTGTGCCCAACATCTGAATTATGATTTGAGTAATAATTCTTCTACTTCCCTGAGTTTTGGGTGAAGAGGTGGAGACTGAAAACACTGAAAAGGTGGAGAACTTAAAGTGAGATTTTAAGAGAGAAACAGTACCAAAGAAGTCAACAGAAATTGAGATGCAAGCAATGCATCCTGAAATACAGCAAATACCACGTCAGTATTGGAGTCACTGTAAACTAGACCCCGCAAAGCCAGGAAAACTGAAGTAACTGGAAGAAATTGCCACTAGCACACAAATGGATTAACGCCAGTATTCTCAGCTAAGACCTCTGATATGTAAGTTGCTCTATCCAAACTGTGAGAAAAACATGATTTTGAAAAAAATTCAGAAGAGCTTTGATCATAGTTGATAAGGATCAAATTCACTCTTGCAAATCAATTCAAGTGAAGAGACTGAATTATCATAGGCCTGTACAGACCTGAAAGTAACTACTGAAAAAAACACACAAAAAAGTTAATTTCATAGAAATCGTAGATTTGAGAGGCACCACTGTGCTACCCTAACATATTCTTCCCTACAAGCACATCACAGTGGCCATTCTGATTCAGAATAAGATTCCACCTAGCTGTCCTCAGGAGTAACCACAATGAGATGCCTATAAGAGTAAGAGCAAGCACATGTAATATTTTCCTCAAATATTCTTACAGCTTCTGATAATTTTTAGCTTAGAAAACTTCTTATCCATGAAATATTTGGTTAACAATCTTCAATCCTTCCCTCCTCCTTGGCCTTGTCCAGCTTGCCTTTAAACCCACGGTATAGATTTTTGCACCACCAACATCCACTGGTAAGGGGTTCATTCTACAAATCTTCTTCTGGTATGAACCACCATCTTTTGTTTGCTTTGGACTCAACCGCCACTGCCTTCATTTGATATCCCCCCCATTATTGTAATACAAAAAATGTCGACTCACCAACCCCTGTTCACTCCCTCCATGCTACTGCATGCCACAAATGATTCTGTAGACCTCTATTATATCCCTGCTAAATTGTCCCTTTTCCAAGCTGATTGATCCAGGTGCACTGAGTTGTTCCCGACCTTTGCTCCATACGCTCGATTGTTGCTACTGCAACTGTATTTCAGAGCCCACTGATTGATCCAGGTGCACTGAGTTGTTCCTGACCTTTGCTCCATACGCTCAATTGTTGCTACTGCAACTGTACTTCAGAGCCCGCTTTGAGCTAAGGGGACGCGAACTACATTTACTATTCAACACTACTGTATTAGCTCTGGGTTGCTAATGTAACGGTGTTCTCTATTTCTTTCTTAATGATTTCTGACATTTGATGTGCTGGTTTAGCTGCTATCAAGAACCAGGCTGACATTTTCACAGACCCATCTATTACTGCCTGAGAATTGTTCCCAAGTGGTCACGGTCAGCTCAGAGCCCATTACATCCGTTCCTCCACAAATAAGGTTAGGATTGTTTGTCCCTTGTGCATCACTTAATTTATCTGCACTGAGACTTCTACCTGTTAATTTATTGTCCACTCACTATCACTCAGGTCTTCTGCAGCTCTTCAGACATTATTCAGCCTTTACCTGGAATACCTTTGTATCGTCACCAAACTCTGCCATCTCAATGCTCACTCCTTTTTCCAATATATATGAACATACTGAACAGAGCAAGTCCTAGCATAGTCACTGACAGAACTCTACTGTCAATTTCCACTTTGATAGCCAATCAGTTATTCCTCTCTCTGCCTTTAAATCAGTTATTTATCAACACCAGGAGTCTCCACTCTTGTTCTGTGGCTGTTGTTTCTCTAAGCGCACTTAGAAAAATATTTTCTCATAAGCTTTTTACAAATACAGAAAGATTATATGAACCCAATTCCTTATATTCACAGTTCAAGGCAGGACTTCTCACTAAAAAAACCCCAACCTATTGATCATTTTCAACTAGGTCGCACTTAAAGAAGCATCCACTAATTCTGTCTTCCGTTTTTATTAACTGGCATTGAACAAACTTAAAGGGCTTCTAGGTCCAAAAGTCTTGCTTCTGCAGTAAGCCAGTAGGGAGTGGGAAAATGGACAGCTAACACAAGTTAAAGTGCTAGTGAACACAAGTAATTTTGTGATTCTCATAAAAGTTGAAGCTATGCTCCTTCATAGCCTCATACTTTAACTTGCTGGCTTCTGTTAAAGATGAAATACACAATTTTTAGAGAACTAGTCAATACATATACATAAGCTTTTTTCCTTGCCATGGACAGCCTCCAGATCTGTTCAGTGTAGACTTAGAAGTGTTCTTCTGACACACTATACAAAATCACATATGGCTACTCTGACTGCTTACTCTAGCCATACTTTTATAGGCGAAGAGCTGGAAACCATTTCCAACCTCTGTCCCCAGCAGAAACTGCCATCTCACTAACCTTGGAAAGCCACAGTGCCATCATCAGAAAGCTTATTTGGATCAAGAAAAACTTTGGCTTCGGCATCCAAGGAGTCTTGTACATATAAAACTCGCTGGTTCTGGAGTCCTGTATTGTAGAAGTGAAAATACCTAAAAGAACACAAGAAGAAAAAATAAGTAGGAAGAACTCAGACTTTCAGTTAGGCAAGCAAGAAAAACTTGTATGAGTCTGTCACAAAACTAGAAGACAGATAAACACATAGCAGAAACAAGCTTCACAGTATAGTAGGAACTATGGCTTTTTCTGCGACCATCACAGATTTAACCACCCTCTGTAGGTGCCTTTCTCTCCCCCTCAGTACAGAGGAAGCCCAGACACCAGGCCTCTAAAAATGAGAGGAATCTCACCCCGATGTGATACAGATTGCACAGAAGAGACTGCAGGATGCATCCAAAACATTTTAAAAATAAAAACTGTATTTTCCACAGTGCATTTCAAACCAAGTAAAGTATACTATAAACTACATAACTGTCTATGTTAAATCACTCTGGCAGCCTTAGCATTTCTCTGTCACAAGCGCTGGCACAGGTTCCCATCCCCTACGTTCTAAGTTGCGTCATTCATATAGCTGCTTTCAATATGTATCAGGTGGAAGACAGACGTTCAAATGAAACAGAACTGAAATTCTTTCATCTGTATTTCCCAATGTCCCTAAAATTGTGTGTGGTTGTAGCAATAGAGAACTACAGAATTCTCTTCAGTGAAGGATACTGTTCACATAAGACACTACAGAGCTCAAAGGAATTAATAACTGTATTCTATGCAGTTCATAGGTACTACACTTTTCCTTCATCGGACTTCTGAGTTTTACTACGCTAACTCGTGACTTAACAAATCAAATAGCAGCTGCACTGGGGGAACAGGAGAACTTATGCGGTAATGCTCAAACATAAACATAAGTTCACATATTCCCTAAGACTGTCCAGTACTTTGATAGCAGCATGGCAACCTGGTAAACCCAGAAAGGGGAACTATACTCACAAAGGCCTGGCTAACAATCTGAACTAGTAATATGTTCAAATACTAACAATAATGTTCAGCAG